CGGCGGCTGCGGCTGCGGCTGCGCCGCGCGGCGACGGGTCTCGAATGCGAAGCAGGGGGTGGGGTCGGGCCACAGGCCGATATCCTTCCTGATTTCCCCGGATCCTTGGGCCCGCTCCGCACCCAGCCCGAGTCCGGGGTTGGCTGGTGGGCCCTCACTCCCCTGCCCCTCGCTCCCCGCAGATGCCGGTGGCCGTGGGTCCCTACGGGCAGTCGCAGCCCAGCTGCTTCGACCGCGTGAAGATGGGCTTTGTTATGGGCTGCGCCGTGGGCATGGCGGCCGGAGCGCTCTTTGGCACCTTTTCCTGTCTCAGGTGAGGGTTGCAGTAGGGGTGATCTTTGGGTGGGACTTCCCAAACTTCTTCCCTCTTCAGCCTGAGCTGAACCCACTGGCGAACTACTTTTAGGCCTGGGACTGCGGTGCTTAAGAATCTGCGGCTCTAGAGTCAAAATGGCTTTTGACCCTTCTACTAGTTGGGTGACTTTCCGCAAGTCGGAGGCTGGATTTCAAGTGTAAAGCCACGGCGGTGGTAACACCTACCTCCACATTTGTTAAGAATCAGACCGACTTGTTTTGCAAGGAATCTACGCAGTAAGTGCTCGTAACTACTTACTGTTGCAGCTGTCATTTTTACTTCCAACTGCATATAATGAAACAAATCAGTTCAGCTGTTTCTACTATTCTAGGAACGGGATGTTGGTACAAAGCAGGTAACCCCCTCTGAAACCTGGCTTGGAGGCTGCAATCCCTTAATTTCACCTGTAATCCTAAAGCGGGATGATTGGAGGTACTATAGTTTGCGTTACAAAGCGGAGAACGGGTCTCCAAAGAGACAAAAGAAGAAACAGGAAAAATTCTTCTCAGGGTCATCTCACATTTGAAGTGTTCCAAGTTGCAAACTGCTATTTAACTAGCACTTACTTTGTTAAGTACTAACAATTGTTATGAAAACATTTCTGGCGGGGTGCCGGTGGCTCGCGCCTGTAATCCTAGCTATTCAGGAGGCTGAGATCTGAGGATCACTGTTCAAAGCCAGCCCGGGCAGGAAAGTCCATGAAACTCTTATCTCCAATAAACCACTCGAAAACCGGAAGTGGTGGTGTAGCTCAAATGGTAGAGTGCTAGCCTTGACCTGAAGAGCGGAGGGACAGAGCCCAGGCCGAGAGTTCAAGCCCCACAACCGACCAAAAAAAAAATTTTTTTTCTGTAAATACCGTGCTCTCCATTTACATATGACACATTGTATAAATTGCAGAGCTGGGTTTTGAACCCAGGTTCAACCCCGAAAATCAGTGTCATCATCTGGGAGCCTGTGGTTCATGCCTGAAATCCTAGCTATTCGGGAGGCTAAGATGTGAGGATAACAGTTTGAAGCCAACTCTGGCAGGAAAATCCATGAGACTCTAATCTGCAGTTTACTACTGTGAAGCCAGAATTCAACATGTGGGTCAAGTTATTGTGCTGTTCCTTGAACAAAAAAGTTATAGGATGGTACCCAGATCCTGAGCTCTAAATAACTAATCTAATAATACCTTTGAAAAAAATGGCAGGCAAAGCAGCATGGTGGGACACATCTGTAATCCTAGCACTCTGGAGAGGAAAGCAGGAGAATATCAAATTTGAGGCCAACCTGGACTACCAAAGGAGTTAAGAGAGTAGTCTGAATGATACATAGTTAAGATCCTTGCCTCAAAAATAAAGGCAAGTTGAGCTGAGTGGCGTACAATTGTAATCATATTCAGGAGGCTGAGCTCTCAAGATTGCAATTAAAAACTAGCCCAGGAAGGAAAGTCCATGAGACTCTTTTTTTGTTTGTTTTTGTTTTTGGGTCCGGTCGTGGGGCCTGAACTCTGGGCCTGGGCGCTGCCCCTCAGCTCTTCAGCTCAAGGCTAGCGCTCTACCACTTGAGCCACAGCGTCACTTCCGGCTTTTTCTTTTTCCTTATGTGGTGCTGGGGAATCGGACCCAAGGCCTCAGGCATGCAAGGCAAGCGCTCTACCACTGAGCCACCTTCCTAGCCCCTTCCGTGAGACTCTTATCTCCAATGAAGTGCCAGAAAGTCAGAAGAGGAGCTGTGGCTCAAGTGGTAGAGTGCTAACATTGAACAACAACAACAAAAAAAGCTCAGAGACACTACCCAGGCCCCCTGTTCAAGCACTAGAATTACACACCCTTACCCCCACCAAAAAAGGGCAAGTATCTAATTGAATCACATATATCCTGGAAGCAAAAGCAACCATAGAGCTGGGTGTCAGTGGCTAATGTATCTCCTAAGCTGCTCAAGAGGTTCAAAATGTGAGGATCAAGATTTGAAGTCAGCACAGGCAGTAATGTATGTGAGACTCTTAAACTCCAACTAAACAAAAGAGCTGGAAGTGGAGCTATGGCTTAAGTTGTAGAGCACTAGTTTTGACAAAAAATGAGGGACAGCACCCAGGCCCTGAGTCCAAGCCTTCCCCACCCCCCACCCCCAACCAGCACAAGCACATAAAAAAGCCAATCACACAAACTAGTCTTCTGCTTGGTGCCAGTGGCTCCTAGCTATTCAGGACGCTGAGATCTGAGGATCACAGTTCAAAGACAGCCCAGGCAGATCAATCCTTCCCTTTCCAATTGACCCCTAAAGAGCCAGAATAGTGAAGCTGTGACTGAAGTGGTAGAGTACTAACTTTGAGAAAAAAGCTCAAGGAGAGCACCCAGACCCTAAGTTCAAGCTCTAGGACTGGCACCAAGAAAAATCTTTTTCTGATCTGAGGGCATGGCTCAGGTGGTAGAACACCTAAAAAGTCTAGTACCACAAAATTTATAAGCCGGGGGCTGGTGGCTCACGCCTGTAATCCTAGCTACTCAGGAGGCTGAGATCTGAGAATCATGGTTCAAAGCCAGCCCAGGCAGGAAAGTCCATGAAATGCTTTTTTTTTTTGTCGGTCATAGGGCTTGAACTCTGGGCCTGGTCGCTGTCCCTCAGCCCTTCAGCTCAAGGTGAGCGCTCTACCACTTGAACTACAGCGCCACTTCCGGTTTTCTGGTGGTTTATTGGAGATAGGAGTCTCACGGTCTTTCCTGCCCAGGTTGGCTTTGAACTGCAATCCTCAGATCTCAGCCTCCCGAGTAGCTAGGATTACAGGCATGAGTCACCAGCGCCCGGCTCCATGAAACTCTTATCTCCAATAAACCACCGAAAAATTGGAAGTGGCACTGTGGCTCAAGTGGTAGGGCGCTCTCCTTGCACTGAAGAGCTGAGGGGCAGCTCCCAGGCCGAGTTCAAAACCCATGACCAACAAAAAATAAAAATTAAAAATCCACCTGGTTTTCCTATGTATTTTCCACTGTTTCTGCCTCCTTCAACTGGCAGTTCATCAAAATGTCCTTCAGGACCTTGATGGATCCTTTTCTTCTCATTGCCTATCCCAGAGATCAGGACCAGCTAAGACAAATGAGAAAAAAGGCTTGCCAGACTTTAATAGTATTGCTCATCATTACATGCACAGATTATAGAGTGGCAAACTTGATACTCTTCTTGTAATTTTGTTCCCATTTGGCCCCATCTTGGTTTCCTCCTCAGGATTGGAATGCGGGGCCGGGAGCTGATGGGCGGCATTGGGAAAACCATGATGCAGAGTGGCGGCACCTTTGGCACATTCATGGCTATCGGAATGGGCATACGATGCTAACCAGGGCAGTAGTTGCCTGCTACATCTACACCTTCCCATCGGTCACAGCCCTTGTACTATAATAAAAAGAAGTTTTTGCTTCTCCTTCTGTCTCTTGTTATTCAGCTTTACCAAAGCTGCTGTAAATTTAAAGGATGTACTAATAAGTAGGTTTGGTACATTTCATAATAGAAATTTTGAGGTACTTGGTGCCTTCCATACCAGCGGTGTCAATTTAACTTTGTAATTTGGTGCTATTATTGGTCTCTTGAAGGTACACTCAAAGGTAGAAGATGTCTTCAAGATCACACACTGCAAAATCTTTAGGAGCCAACGACACTGGCTCTATGATAATGCCAATACTACTTCATTGTTTTGGAAGAAATTTTAAATTCTTTTTCTAATGTAATCATTTACCTCCTGAGGTTATTCTGGCGTTGTGGCAAAATGTAAAACTGAAGCTACCATAAAACAGATTCATAGCACAAGCCACTACTTCTCAACTGGCTAAATCCCAGGTAACCATTTAACCATCCACTATGATGCAGATTGTACATCTCTAAAATCCTGTTTATCAGGTTGTTGGAAAATACATGGTAAGGACCCCACAGCATGCTGGGACATTCTAGTCTGTATTACTTCAGAATTGCTTAGTCACAACCTGCAAAATTGGCAGTATGACACACTGACAGATACAAGCAGGAACTAAGGGCACTATCAGAACCTAGCTTTATTAACTACAGGTTTCCACTACCAGAGTAGAATGCTGTCTGACATACACTACACACACACACATGTTAAAAAGATTAATATGCAGGTACTATCCTTTGGTACAGATCAAATCCTGGACATCTTTTATGAAATTGCCAATTAAGTATGAATTTTTTTTTTTTTATCAGTTATGGGGCTTGAACTCGGCTTGGGTGCTGTCCCTGTGCTCTAAAGCTTAAGGCTAGCGCTCTACCACTTGACCCACAGCATCACTTCCAGTTTTCTGGTGGCTAACTGGAGATGACTGTTTCTAGGACTTTCGTGCCTGGGTTGGCTTTGAACTGCAATCCTCAGATCTCAGCCTCCTGAGTAGCAAGGGCATTTTCAAACCACAGATTAAACAGGACCTGGTATAGTTTATGCAGGTAACATGGGATACTGAATACTTGATGCTTCAGAAAATGTGGCTTGAATGTGGTGGTGTTTTTCTAGCGTAGTAAAGAATCAGGAATTCCAGCACAACTGGGGCTACATATTGAGATACCACCTAATCCTGCTAACCAAGGACACAAGCAAAAAGGACAGAAACAAAAACTTGAATTTCAGGGGCTGAGAAGGTGGCTCAGTAGTAGAGTGCTTGCCTTGCATGCATGAGGCCCTGGGTTCGATTCCTCAGAACCACATGAGCAAAAAAAACCCGAAAGTGGTGCTGTGGCTCAAGTGGAAGAGCGCTAGCTTTGAGCTGAAGAGCTGAGGGACAGCGCCCAGGCCCAGAGTTCAGGCCCCATGACAGGACCCCAAAAAGAAAATACAAAACACAAAAAAACTTGAATTTCATTAAGAGGCTGGGAGTGTGGTTAGCTGTATTGTTTATCTTGCATTAAGCCCTGGGTTCCATTCTTCAGTACCACATAAATAGCAAAAGCTGGGTGTGGTGCTATGGTTCAATTGGCCCCTCAGGACAATATCCACTAGGATATTGTCTTCTAAAAAATCTGAACAATTTTTTTTGGGGGGGGCGGTCACAGGGCTTTGACTCAAGGCGGCACTCTATGGCTTGAGCTACAGCGCCACTTCTGCTTTTCTAGTGGTTTATTGGAGATAAGTCTCTCCTGGCAGGATTTGAACCTCGACCCTAAGATCTCAGAGTAGGATTACAGTGAGCCACCGGCACCCAGCTGTGAACAATTACACTTATTTTCCATTAATGACAGAAAGCAGGAAGCAGAGCTGTAGCACAAGTGGTAGAGCACTAGCCTTCAGTACAAAAGGTCCAGAGACAGTTTCAATGAACAGAATTAAAACACCAGAACCAGAAGCAAAAATTAAGTTAGGCATTGACCTGTAAAAACTTGCTGCCTACTACAAAAACCTGAAATCCCTTATCTCCAATAAACCACCAGAAAACGGGAAGTAGCACTGTGGCTCAAGCAATAGAGAGCTTGCCTTAGCTGAAGAGCACAGGGACAGTGCCCAAGCCTAGAGTTCAAGCCCCAAGACTGACCAAAAAAAAAAAAAAAAAAAACTAAAGTAGCAGAAAGCCAAAAGTAGGTGTAGCTTATTTGGTAGAATGCCAGCAGTGAGCAAAAAAAGAGCTAAAAACAGTGTACCAGGACCAGAACACACTACAGGTTTGAATAAACTGAGTAGTGGTGTATGCAGAGAAAAAAGTACAAACTTAAATGTGTTTTTATCCATACTGGAGCTTGAACCCAGGCCCTGACACTTACATGGTAAGTACTGTATTACTTTTAAGATTCCAGCCCTTGCTTGGTTTTCCTCTAAATTTATTATCAATAATCTAATGCTGTTATAATGAGTATAATAGCTAATACCCAGATGGACATGGTATTGTATGTCAATAATATAAGCACTGAGGAGATTGATAAAATCAAGGCCGGGCAGACCTACTTGAGATTATTAAATAAAAGTAATAACTACTTTTAAAATAATTTCTATGACTTAAAAACTTGAAAAATGAAGCTTTCTTGTGGCCTTTTTAAGAGAATTTTATTTGAGTGGTTCTTACAAAGATTGTTGCAATATGAAAGTCATTTGATAGAAATATCAAGCTGTCTTGTCAAACACACTGAATTAACCCAAAAATATATTTCAGAGCTCACAGAGCTTAAAAAGAGCAAAGATTATATATATATATATGAAACCAGACAAAACCTATTTCTGCATTTCCCACTTGTTGCTTGAGTGCCTTGCTTCACAAACTTATTAAATACCTTCAGGAAATGCAGTTATTATTTTGTTTGGAATCTTAAAGACACACCAGAACACATAGTATTTACAAAGAAACTTTTACAGGTACATTTAACTAAAAAGTTACCATCAAGAAATATAATTGTGAAATCTCCCTTTCTTGCTCCAAATGATCAGTATGCAAGATGAGATGCTCGCCAAACAGCTGCTTAGCTATCTTAATTTCCATACACTTAAATGTGTATTTCAGATACTGTTGATAAGTCATGAGCCAAATATCAAAATTAGTGAAATGTGAAGTGTAACTGTTGTGTAAAAAGTTAAAGACTCCTAAAACAATAAAAAACATTACATATCTGCCTTGACAGAATGTACATTTGTTCCTCCTAGAACTATTTCTATAGATCCTTAATGTAATTTTCTACATGAACATTTTAAAAGGCAGAACAAGAGAACAACTTGGCATACAGTGGGATATGCTAGTTAGGGAGAATGAGCACACTGTATTCCTGTTAACATTTTTATTTTTTTCAAAGTAACAGGAATTGTATACAAATGACAGTAGACCCTTGCCTCTTTATTTTTTATCTAAATAAAAGATAACTCAGGATGAATTCTCAAGAAAAAAAAAGCTATGTACATAAGGGACTATATCTTCCTTCATCGTCTACTTGGAACCAGTAGTTGTGTTGCTGTCATAGAATCAGGGAACAGGTTGTGGTAAGTTGGAAGAGGTACATATGCTGCTGTTATCATTTTACCTGTTGAAATAAAAAGATGATGTTATGCTTAGTGTTTTGAGTAGTATTGAAAATTAAATCACTTAAAAAAAAAAAACTCACCAGCAAACCACCTGCCATGCAATGCATTAACAGCAGCAATAGCTGCAGCAATTGATGGGCACTTCACATACACGTTGCCCTAAAGTACAAAAACAAAACAAAATAAATGTAATGACTCACTCAAGATAACCAAAGAAATAACTAAGTAATTCATTACCATAAAATATCTGAATGCTTCTAATTCCAACAAGTAAAATGAATACTTAGCATGTGGAAGACACTGGAAATACTTATGTTGCAGTGTGTTATTAGGTCAGTATATTAAGGCAAACTGTAGAACAGGAATGGTTGGCAGATGCCTGTAATCCTGCATTTTGGGCTAAATCAATAGAATATTGAAAACCAGCATAGAATGGACAACCTACTGATATGATGTTTCCCCTTGAAAAGAACCATCATCATATAACGTACCTTTATTATGGAATGTTCAAACACATGGATTAATGACTCACTTTAATACTGGATGTTCAAGAGGCTGAGATTCTAAGATCAAAATTTAAACTAGCTCTGGCAAGAAGGACCACAATATGCTATCCAATATAACCACCAAATAAGCCAGAAGTGGAGTTGTGGCTCATGTGGTAGAGTGCCATCCTTGAACAAAACACCTTAAGGATGATACCAGGCCCTTACTTTCACCCACATAAAAATTGGTATTCCAGCCGGGTGCTGGTGGCTCACGCCTGTAATCCTAGCTACTCAGAAGGCTGAGATCTGAGGATCGAGGTTCAAAGCCAGCCTGGGCAGGAGAGACCGTGAGAGTCCTATCTCCAATAAACCCCCAGAAAACCGGAAGTGGCGCTGTAGCTCAAGTGGTAGAGCGTTCGCCTTGAGCTGAAGAGCTGAGGGACAGCGCCCAGGCCCAGAGTTCAAATCCCACGACCGACATTAAAAAACAAACAAACAATCTACTAGTTGGGGCTGGGAAGGTAGCTCAGCAGTAGATTGCATGCCTTGCAAGCATGAGGCCCTGGGTTCGATTCCTCAGCACCACATAAACAGAAAAAGCCGGAAGTGGCGCTGTGGCTCCAGTGGTAGAGCACTAGCCTTGAGCTGAAGAGATGAGGGACAGCGCCCAGACCCAGAGTTCAGGCACCATGACCAGCAAAAAATAAATAAATAAATAAAAAATAAAGAAAAATTAACTACTAGAAAACTCAAAATGAATTTGGCTCTAAGTGGTAGAGTGCTAGTCTTTTTTATTTTTTTGGGGTCTGGGCATGGGCGCTGTCCCTCAGCTCTTCAGCTCAAGGCTAGCACTCTACCACTGGAGCCACAGAGCCACGTCCCGCTTTTTTCTTTTTGCTTATATGGTGCTGAGGAATCGAACCCAGAGCCGCATGC